TTTGGCCTTTGTAATGCCCCTGCAACGTTTGAGCGTCTCATGGACCAGGTCCTAAAGAGCCTGCCGCTCGATGTTTGCTTGGTTTATCTGGACGATATACTTGTGCACGGCAAAACTTTCCAGGGAGCACTTTGTAATTTGTCACTCGTATTTGACCGTCTGAGAAAGGCAAACTTGAAGCTAAATGCCAAGAAATGCGTTCTATTTCAAAAGAGAGTGCATTATCTCGGTCACATCGTCTCTGAAAAAGGAATGGAGACGGACCCTGAGAAGACAGAGTGCGTCAGAAACTGGCCTCGACCTCAAAATCAGCGCGACGTTAAAAGCTTCCTTGGACTGTGCACCTACTACCGGCGATTTGTAAAAGGTTTCGCCACAATTGCCAAACCGCTGTACGCTTTATCGGAACAGAATACGGCGTTCGAATGGAGTGTACACGCACAAGATTGTTTCCTCACACTCAAGAATTCCCTTAGCGCCCCTCCAGTTCTTGGATTTCCTCGACCAGACTGCAAGTTCGTCCTCGATACCGACGCGAGTAACGTCGGTTTGGGTGCTGTGTTGTCCCAGATTCAGGATGGCTCCGAAAAAGTAATTGCGTACTATAGCAAAGTTCTAAACAGGGCAGAACAGAACTACTGCGTTACGAGAAGGGAACTCTTGGCAGTTGTAAAAGCCGTGACCCATTTCCATCATTACTTGTACGGCACAAAGTTCCTCTTAAGGACTGATCATGCATCCCTCACTTGGCTTTTAAACTTCAAGAACCCGGAAGGCCAAGTAGCTAGGTGGTTAGAGCGGCTGGCACAATACGAGTTCAGGATTGAGCATAGACCCGGCAAGGGACATGCAAACGCCGACGCACTTTCGCGGCGACCTTGCTTGTCTGGCAACTGTCGCCCATGCCTGAAAAGCGAGCAGCGCCTTCCATTGGACTACCAACCGTTGTCGTCCTCCCAAACGACTACGTGCCCTGCGATGGTAGAACACCAGCAAGATGACCAAGACCCGACAAACTGGACTGCAGATTTTCTCCGTGTGCTTCAAGAAAACGACAGCAATCTGCAACCTATTTTGCAGTGGAAGCGGGTGGGAGAAGTACCCAGCTGGAACGTGGTTGCACCGTACAACAGCGTCGTGAAAGCATACTGGGCACAATGGGATTCCCTCATTCTACAGGATGGATTGCTGTATCGTTGCTGGGAGAGCAAAGACGGAAGAAACAGCACGCTTCAACTCATTTTACCTCAAGTCCGTGTCAACACCGTCTTGCGTAAACTTCATGACAGCCCTGCTGGCGGACATCTTGGGATATACAAGACCCTACAACGAGTTCGAGAAGGGTTCTATTGGGTTGGATGAACTCGAGATGTGCGCGAATGGTGTAAAAAGTGCGACCACTGTGCGTCGCGTAAAGGACCACCATCACGAAGCCGGGGGAGGATGGTAACCTACAACGTCGGTGTCCCGTTTGAAAGAGTGGCCATTGATGTTGTAGGTCCACTACCGAAAACGACACAAGGAAATCGGTACGTCATAGTCATTGCTGACTACTTTACCAAATGGCCAGAAGCATTTCCAGTACGAACGTACGACGCAGACACTGTAACCAGGATCTTGACGGAAGACATCGTTCCAAGATACGGGGTACCACTGGAAATTCACTCTGATCAGGGTCGGACTTTTGAGTCGCAAGTGTTCAAGAGCATGTGTGAGACACTCGGAGTCAGGAAGACGAGAACCACGCCCTTGCATCCTCAGTCGAATGGCATGGTAGAAAGGCTCAACTGCTTACTCAAGCAATACCTTTCGCTCTTCGTTGACGAGCACCAGGACAACTGGGACACTCTAATTCCATTCTTCCTACTTTCCTACCGGTCAGCCGTTCATAGTGCGACAAGCTACACGCCAGCGATGTTGTTAATGGGCCGGGAGCTAAGGCTGCCTGCGGACATCACTTTTGGCACGCCAGTACTTCCATCGCGTGAGACAACACGCAGAGTTCTTTACTCTGACTACTCCCGCCACCTGCGAACGAAACTGAACTGTGTGCACGATTTTGCACGAAGACATTTGCACCTGAGCAGTGAAAGTGCAAGAACCCGCTACAACCGAAGCTGCTCGGGTCGCATACTCCAGCCTGGAGACAAAGTGTGGCTGCACCAACCACGCCGCACCAAAGGTCGCTGCCCGAAACTTCAGCCCAATTGGGAAGGCCCCTACGAAGTTGTCAAGCGACTAAACGACGTCGTGTACCGGGTTCGGCACCTGCTAAGCCGGAAAGTTCACGTAGTTCATTTTGATCGGCTGGTTCCCTATCAACCTGACTGAATATTTTTTTTGCACCACCTCGGGACGAGGTTCATGTGTTGTCGGGGGGCAGTGTTGTGGCGGTGCTGCGAATGAGAAGACGACGAAAAAAAGACAGGAAGAGGGCGCGAGAAAAAGGACGGATGGCGATGAACGTTGAACGCCGAACGCTGGGATTTTAAACCGTCTTGATTTTCTTAACAATATGTTTAGACCAAAAAACGCAGTCTGAGTTGTGACATTAAGCAATGCAAGCGTGACGTTTTGCATTGCTTAATGTCACAACTCAGACTGCGTCTTTTGGTCTAAACATATCTTTCGGCATTGTCATTCGCTGAGCTGACTCCGTAAGTTGCGCTGATTGGCTCTCCGAGTGTTGTGCGTGAAAGTAGACGCATAAACGTTTTTTAGAGTGTGTAAGCTGCATAGAATAGCACTGCATTTTTGTTTTGTTTGCTTCTGTTGTTTAAAAATGAAGCATTCTACTACCACTGAGGTCGATGCAGATTACGGAATGCGGAAGTATCTTCGAAAGTAATTGAATTACATTTCGGAGTTTTTGTGCTCTACTCGAAATATTTTGCGGGTAAATTAACTTCAGTAGTATTTTAAATACTTTATGAAGCAGGTATTTAGTAAGTTGACTTAAATACTTTTGTCGAGTATCTTGTCCAACACTGATACCCCAGTGTAGATGTGTTGTTCACTCTAAAAAAAGCCTGTGTGCCTACTTTCCCGGAAAACACTCGGAGAGCCAATCACGGCAACTTACGGAGACAGCTCAGCGAATGATGATGCCGAAACTCGTCTTTAGACCCAAAAAAAAAAAAAAACGCAATCTGAGTTGTGATATTAAGCAATGCACGCCTGACGTTTGCATTGCTTAATGTCACTACTCAGACTGCGTTTTTCGGTCTAAACATATGTTTCGCCATCGTCATTCACGGAGCTGTCTCAGTAAGGTACGGTGATTGGATCTTTGGGTGTTGTGCGGGAAAGTAGACGCACTGGCTTTTTTTAAAGTGTTCAGCCGTGAATGGGGACACGACCACTTATATTATTTGTAGAGCGCAGCTCTTTTAGACCATAAAAAATTTCCTGCGCGTCTACTTATCCGCAAAACACTGAAAGAGCCAATCTCTGCGCGATCTATGAAATCAGGTCAGCGAATGATGAGGCAGAACATCTGTTTAGAGCTCAAAATTATGTCTCCGCTGTGGCATTACGCAATGCAACCATGACGCTTTGCAATGCGTATTGAAACAGCACAGATTTCATATTCAGGTCTGAACGGATGTTTGGCCTCATAATTCGCTGAGCTGATTTTCTAGATCGCAGAGATTGGCTCTTTCAGTGTTTTGCGGGTAAGTAGACGCGCAGGCAATTTTCAAGGGTATGCGCCCGTTTCCGGGTTGAGCGGCGTCGCCGTCGCCGTATCCGCGCGTTGCATTATGGGATGTTTCCCCAAGTTAGCGGGGTGAACTTTTCCGCTAAATTAAGCAGAACAAATTCTCGCTAAATTTAGCTGGCAAACATTTTGCCGCTAAATTTAGTGGGGAAACTTTACCCGATAAATTTAGCAGAAAAACTTTCCCCGTTAAATTAAGCAGAAAAATTATCGCAAAAATTTTCCGCTAAATTTAGCGGAAAATTTAGCGAAAATTGCTCGCTAAATGGGAGGGTAGCAGGAAAGGAGGAGTGGAGGGTACGAAGGGGGAGGAGGGGCATACCCGCCGCGGAAGTTGGTGCCGCTCGTGTGGTGTTCCGTGAATTGTTACCATGATCGCAAGGATCGTTATTTTGTTGTGGTCATCGGTCAGGACTGGTCCCATAGGATGCTGAATTGTTCGTTAAGTTCCCCTTGTCTCGATTACTGCCAGGGCTGCCTGGCTCTAGGTTTCACCCAAAATTACGAAACCAGGTAGCAACTAGATACTGCCAAAGTGGGGTTTTTGTTTATCGCGAGGTATGCTAGGAAAGAACTGTTTGAAACAGACGACATGAAGATTCTTTCTTCGTCGCGCCATTCTTTCCGGTATGCCAGGGCTGCCCTCTTCGCTCTCTTTGCGCGGCATGGCTGACGGCAAGTCCCGACTTACCTCTCCTCGCGTCAAAATAAAAAAGACGAAAAGTCGTTTTCTATCATTTTTTGCGCGCGCGGCGACGACAACCCACGAGGTCAAAATCTCCGATTAGTGTCACCCACGGTGGTGTCGCCCAAAAAACTATCGCTTAAGAAAAAAAAAAAAAAAAAAATACGTGGAACTTGGCGCCACTTTTTCAGAATTCAGTGACATTGGTTCGCACGAGCCTTGCTAGGTTGTGTTCGAATTTAGAGTGATCAAAGGGACAGACCAGCAACACGACGAGCCAGGCTAGAGAGCGTAGAATTAGGAAAACGGGCAACTCAAACCACAGAGAGCGTTTTCGATTTAATGGCGGACACCATCTGAGCATACGTGCGTTGCCGCCGGGGGGAGGATAGACGGTGGAGAGGCTGAACAAAGCTTGGTGGCGCTCGACGATTGTTTCATTTTCTCGCACTTCGTATTGCAAACGCGTCTCACAAAACACGTGACCCTTATCGAGTAAATTGGAACTACTCTCATATCTGGGCACACTAAGCCGAGGGGTGTAAGTAAATGCACAATATCCACGGAGAGATTTTCACTCGAGGTTTTCAGACTTACTTTTGTTCGTGTTGGTGGCATTCCAGCGGCCGTCTAAGGAGAGGCGACGAGCCTCCACCAGGTCGGTGTGGGCCAAGAACAGCAGCGCGAACGCGGTCAAGATTCGGAACGCCATGCTGCTGCCGTCGCCGTGTCCCTCGTCGGCGGCTGGCCGAGGTGCTGCTCGGAGGCGTCAGCGACGTCGTCGGAGATCGCTCGTCTCTCACCCTGCGTACGCGATAACCACGACGCGATTAAGGCACCGGGAGACGCTGAGGACGCTATCGGTCCCGTGCTCGAGATCGCAGCCGCCCTCCCTCCCAGCTCTCTCTCTCTCTCTCTCAAGGTCCGCTGACTCGTTTTTCCTCGCATCGACGACCGACCGTGGGCCTCCATTCTAATGTTTACGAATTCACAGCCCAGCGTTCAACGTTTACTGCCCAGCACACGCGCATCTGCCACTTGGAAAGCGAGCAAAGAATGCACAATAATCACGAACGCTGAAAACAATACCGACCTCTCGTCCTTCAGTGGAACGGTTTTGTTCTGCCTGGCTTTCCAGGAAACCCAGAGAAAATAGAGAGATTAGAGAGTTTTAGAATAGGGGGCCCCAACACATTGGGTAACCCAACGCTTTGGGGTACCCAACGCAACGACACCTCACGCAGCGTGCTTATAGAATAGGGTTTGTGACGACGGAACGCGGCACGCTCGCCTCTTTCGCATGCAGCGCCATTGTGGACCACGAACGAACTTCTTAACAGTGACAATTATGAAAACGTAAAACATTTGCGCTGAAACGACACTTTATTGTGGCTTGCGGTTCAAATGATAGGGAGGGTAACACCAGTTGGAACGGCACAGCAAGACCCATCTGACGACCGTCTCTGAATCAGAAGATTTACATCTCTGGTCACAAGTAGGGTGCCTCAATGACCTTCTGTTTAGAGTGATGCCACCCTTTGTAGTACCCGATGCCGACAACACGCGATCACGGGGAAAACACAAAGAAATCGACGAAAACAAAATGTCGCCATAGCACAGTCAGCGCCACAGACGCGTGCAGGGACACGCTCTTTCACGCGCTTCTGAACAAAAAATAAATGTAAAAGTGGGAACAAAATGGCCAGATGTCTCCACCCTAAACAAAACGCACATGAAGGCACCCTAGTCACAAGAGAGTGCACGCCCTCAAATACCAGGCTATCATATGCCCCAATGGAATTATCTGCGAGCTCGACGGGACCATTCCCCGGTCACAGGCACGACGCTGGTAGGTGTAGCTTGCTCTTAGCCCCCTGTAGTTGAAGCAGCACGACAGTTATAGAGAGTTTTATAATAGGGTGTCCCAAAGCTTTGGACCCCAAAGAAATAGGCGCTCAGCACTGCGCATGCGTAGAACCCAAACTCCTTTTGGGGTTTTGGGTTTGCTCGCGCCCCCAACGTGAAATTCAAAAAATAGCGTGGGGCCCCCCAAGTGCTTGGGGCCGGGTTGTGTCGGCAAACATGGCGGCGCCCTTTCCGCTCGCTTCGGTGCAAATTCGTCATGGTCGCTGCAGTATTAGCCAATCTCATTGCCAATGAATAGTGCAACCGGCTTTCGCTTTGCTTAATCTAGCTCAAGTCACAAAGAATGAGCGGTGGGCTCACCCCATTTTAAAGAACGTACCCGATCCTGGCCGTTCCTAAGCCTTAACATACGTCGTAACTGTTGACATGCTACGCCGTGGCTGAAAGCTCGTTCACACAGACCCATTTTTTTTTTTTTTTTTTTTTTACGTTACGAAAGGTTACCGGGAAATTTGTGCTTCGTATTAAACTGTGCCAGCAGCAGGTCGACCCGGTCGCGGATGGCCCGCGTGGGGAAATTTCTTCCGATTGCATCGGAGACCCTTTCGGCAATTGAAGTCCATCTCCTGGAATCCCGAAATGGGTTAGTGGCATACACTTCGCGTAGCACATAAATGTCATCGTCGATCAAGAAGCGAATGCGCGCGGGAGCCTTCTCTTTTGCCATTTTCTTCTGGCCTTTAATCGGCCTCGACTCGTTCGACCATCCCGCTTCGGGTGTAGCCGAAACAATCCAATCCGTAGCGCTCTAATTTGGCGCTTGTTCTCGTAGTAACATAGAGAGTTGAGCTAGCTGGTACTTATAAGACATACCCTAATACAGCGCACAAGCACAGGAGCAAGATAGCAAAACACAGGAAGGGGCGCTGACTCCCAACTTATGTATTGTGAAAGAAAGAGAAAGAGGAAGCTTCAGATAGTGTAGTGTTACGTGTTACAGATCATGTAGTGTTACAGTGGATACCAGGGCACATAGGGGTAACTGGAAATGAGACCGCAGATGCTGCTGCTGCTAGAGGACATTATATGGATACTACGGAGGTCGTCCCATTTACAAAAACGGACGCTCGATCCCATATTAGGTTGTTTAGAAAAGAGGAATTCAAGAAACTCTGGATATCCTCAACATACCACTACAAGCCTCTTTTTAAAATCGACCCGTGCCTCCGAAATATATCTCCACGAAATTTACCAAGAAACATAGAAACACTCTACCACCGCATCCGTTTGAACGTCGCCTACACGCACTCTAAAAAAAAAGGGTGTAGTAGGTACACCCACAGGGGGTGTAAGTGCTGCCACATATACTACACCCATAAAGGTGCACAAGTACACCTCAAAACGAGGTGCATATATACACCCTCTTTAGGGGTGCATTTGTGCACCACTTTATACACCTTCAGCATTCGGGGGTGTACAGATACACCCCATACTGGGGTGTGTCACTACTCCTTTCTTACACCCTCACTGTCGTTTCGATGTGCACATACACCCCAATTTAAGGTGTACAAGTATTCCCTTCTCTGCACCCACCAACAGGGTTTGCTATTACACCGTTGTTTACACCCACCCCGCTCATAGGGAATAGAGATACACCCACCAACAGGGTTTACTATTACACCGTTTTTTACACCCACCCCGCTCATATGGAACATATATACATCTCATTCAATGATGTACCATTACACCTCTTTGTGCACCCACCTTAAGGAAACCTGTAAAAAATGTACGCGCCCAGGTGGTTGCAAAAAAAAACAGGGAAACAGACACAAGGGATTGTTTTCAAATCTGCTATGTTTATTAGACAGCCTCTTCCGTAAACAAATACAAACGTGCAAGCAATCTGTGATATGTGAAGATGTACAACGAAGCTGTTACACAACTGAGGAGATTACTGAGCAAACAAAAACCGGGGTGATCTTTAGGTAGTGTCTATTCTCTCAGCAGCCGGCAGAATTATTTACCCGAAATTGTGCCGGCAGTCGTCACTCATTGGCGATACAATCAGGTCATCGAACGACGTTTCATCGACAGCTGCTCGAGGTGATATATACGGGTATCACAAGTAGGGTAAAAAGAAATTTAATGAGCCGCCGCAGACTGACGCCACGAAGCGACGTGAACGTTTGGGCTGGGTCGGTGAGCACGCACCTCAGAGACACACGCGCGACGAAATGTCCCTACAGCGTGTATTTCGCGTAACGAGTGACGGTGAAACGTTAGTGTCGACGACACGTGTCTAGAAAACGTGTATCAACGAAAAGGTGTCAATGAAACGCGTTTTCAGAAAACGCCGGGAGAATAAGAAAGTCACCTGCAGTTATCACATGATTGTAGGCAGCTAATGGCAGGCGACTGCCGATAGAATTTCGGGGAAATTATTCTCCCGGCTGCTAGAAAATAGACACTGCCTAATTTTAGACGTAATCCGGAACGGAACGGTCAATTGCTGCAAAAAAGTAGGTTGCAGTGCACTTACGATGAAAATACCGGACTTGAAATATGTAATCCGAGATAGATGTTGACACGGGCACTGCAAAACCACACAAACACAAACACGGAAAGAAAGGGGTCTGTGAAGATTCAACACGATGTGGCTGAAGAAGTAATTTGCCAAACCGAACACTAAAGGCATCACAGGAATTCCTTGGGCTTTTTTGAAGAAATCGCTTCTTGCCGATGTACGCAGGACTTTTCAAACACTGGAAACCTTGGTACACTCGAATACGCTGTCACGGACGAAATCTCTGGCAGCCCCGCTGGTCGCAGCACAGCACTCAAGAAAATAGGCCGGGAATCAGACATTCCCGGATCGGAAAGAGCTACTACGTCACCCGTGAAACCTTTTCCACATGATCACGCTCCTGCCATTACACCGCGCCCAGACAGCGGACTCGAGGGATAAAAAAGCCCCCGGTTCGGTGGTCCGACGACGGCGTAGCCTTTTCCACGCTTTCAGCTTAGGGAGAGAAAGAAAAGAGAGGAGTATACGAAAATACCAGCTCCTTCAAGGCCAAAAGTGGCTGCCCTCGCGAAGGCTTATTTTCAGGGTTATCCCAACAATGAACGCAGCTAGAGGATTTGTCCCCTATACCCTCTTTTATGTTCGACCCAAAGTTAATAGTGCAGTGGATGCTACCCGTGGCCTTGGCCTTCAGGCAGGTCTGCCTTATCTATACCTTGGAGATGTAGTCACGTGATCCTACCCGGAGACCCGATTGGCCTAGAACAAGCATAGCGTCCCCTTTACTGTCAATACCGAGTGAACAAAACAGTTCCATACTTCCTAAGAAACTGCCCAACCCAAAAAGTGACCCCCAAGAGGGCATCCAAGCACGCTGGTCGGGGCGCGTGGCTAGCGTGGCGGTGCACTGATACACCTAGAGGTTTTTAAGGGAGAGGAGGATGCTCATTGTCGGTGCACAAATGCACTGGATGGGCAACGGAGGGTGCATCCATCAGGAAAGGGGTGCATGTGTTCCTGATACACCCGACTACACCCGTTTTTTCTTAGAGTGCGAATAAACAAAGATATAAGTATGGACAGATTTCAAGCCCGAATTGCCAGCAGTGTCTCGTGGAAGAAGATCTAAACCATATTTTTTCTATTTGTCCCAAATATAATGAAGAGCGCTTGACACTATTTACCAGGATCCAACAACTTACCAGCGAACCATACAGTTTTGAAAAGGTCTTAGGCGCCTGGGAAAGACAACCGCATCAACGAAGGGCGTTAGATGCATTAATAACATTTCTTCACACGACCAATTTGATTGACCCATTGTAAATAATCTTGTAACACACCGACTTTAATCTTGTAACATGCCGACTGTAAATAATTTTGTAAGATATCGATTGTAAATAATCTTGTGACATAACAAAAAGAAATACA